CATATCGAGTTTTTGGTTGAGTCTACCTACAATGGTAGACAGAAGTGACTGCTAATCTCTTAGCCATGACATTTCTGTGGAAATGATGATAAAGTCTAGGTAGGAGCTAGCTCTAACCAAAGGGTTAAAAGGTAAACTTAAAGGAGCAAAGACAGTCACATGGCCCATAAGTAGCTCTTCCTAGTGGCACAGGTCCTCAAATAAATCCCATGGGACTTCCCTAATTATAAATGAATATTATTAACTTACTTAAAATACAAAATATAAAAACATAAGGAAAATGGTAAAGAGAATTAGGATGATGATAGCTAAGAATTGAGGCAAAATGTTGAAGGGCAATGACATCTTGCAGTTGTATCATGTCATTTCATGATTTGATTCTCCCAAGGTTGGCTGGTGGAGTAATTATATTTGTGCTTATTTAGCTGGGATCTTCAGGGGCTGAGGTCCCACCCAAAGATGCTGGGCTGAGGTGAAAATGAAGGTGAGCAAGGATCCAATGATCTTAAAGCACAACACTAAATCATGACAGGGACTGGAGAGATGGTTTCTAAGTTACGAGCACTGATTTCTCTTGCAGAGGACATGGGTTCAATTCCTGGAATCCCCGTGACAGCTCACAACCATCTGTACCTCCCATTCTAAGGGATTCAACACCTGCTTCTGAGCTCCATGGGCACCAGGCACACAATAAAGCACACAGAGGGATAAATAAGATGAATACATCTTTTAAAAATATTTTGAAGAAATAATGGTAGCAGAGCAATGAAGTTTTAGGTGACTTGCCGTGGAAATCACTTCTAATGTTTCCAGTTAATGGAGAGGGATTTTTCTCACTCTCAATATTTCCATTTGAATAAACGATGGCACTTTGACTTCAGTCTTCCATGAAGTTTTTCTTTGTTTGCTTCTGTGACCATGGTTGTGGTAGTTCTTGGATTCTGAATACATTTCTATAATTCTCATGAAAGGGGGATAGCTAAGAACTGGTGAATTCTAAGCCTTGAATTTTTTGTTTTTATTTATGTTTTGTGTATATGTGTGAGTGAATATCACACATGTGCAGGTGTCTTTGGAGGCTGTAGGAAATCCCTCAGAACTGGAGTTATAGGAAGTAGTGAGCCAATTTTGTGGGTGCTGGAAACTGAGGTCAGGTTCTCTGAAAGAACAACCAGGCTTCTTAACCACGGAGTCATCACTCCAGCCACATAGGAGAGGCACCACTGCTTTTAAATTTTGACTAAACAACAAACAAATAAAAGCTATAGTAATATTTAACTCTGAAATCTTCACTCATCTCTATGGGAGAGGCATCACACTTTCTTTTGTTTTCCTTTATTTTTTCTTTTGGTTTTGGCTTTTCAAGACAGGGTTTCTCTGTGTAGCTTTGGAGGCTGTCCTGGAATTCTTTCTGTAGAGAAGCCTGGCCTCAAACTCACAGAGATCTACCTGCCTCTGCCTCCCCAGTGCTGGGACTAAAGGTGTGCACCACTACCACCTGGCCTGGTCACTGCAGCGAAAGAAACCGAGGCTCAGAGAGGTAGATGGTTCCTCTGCTGTGCTTCAGAGTTGCCTTCTTCACTGAGTCAGGGTCACAACTTTCTTACATCCTGTATGGGACTCTGCTTCGCCATATAATCACATAAGCTGTGGTTCAGAAATATGAGGTGGGGAAGGCTGGCAATTGACAGACAATTTTATCAAGATGAACATCAGATAGACTGTTATGGTATTTTGTTAACACTATCAACTATTACTTTTTTGTCACTTTTTTTTAGGGGGGGGCAGGGTCTCATGTAGCTCAGGCTGGCCTAGAACTTACTAGGTACTCAAGGATAACCTTGAACTTCTGATTGTCTTGCCTCTGCTTCCAGAGTTCTGGGATTACAGGTGTGTCCCACCAGGCCCTGTTTTTGTTGTGGTGGTTGTTGTTTGTTGCTGTTTTGGTTTGCATGTTAGGCAAACCCTCTCCCAAGTGAGCTACGCTCCTAGCTCCATGGATGTCTTAAAAGGAATGCACTAAAGCTTTGGAGTCCTGAAGATTAGATGGACACATGTTTTTGTAGTACATACAGCTGGGTCTAAAGTAAGGTTCATCTTCATGTTGCTTTGAGTATAATTTATCCCTATGTCCACAGATATGTGTGGTCCTTAGCCTGCATCAGGAGCTTCTCCTTGCAATAGAGACCATTACAAAAAACCACAAGTCATTAAAAGGCAGACTTGTGGAGTCTGAACCCAGTAACATCTGTAACAAAAGACCTGGACCTATGTCTCAGGGAACATGACAGAAGATGGGGAGGAAAGATTCTAAGAGCCAGATGAAATGAGTTTGTTGTGAGACTGTGTCTCCTAGTAATGCCAGAAGCTACACCCATGAAGTCTCACCAACATGACTGCCTAAACATAAGCTGAACAAGGACAATAACAATAGACATGCTAACGTGGATGCAAAGCGGGGTGGGGGGAGTCCAGGAGGCCCCACCCCTACACGAAGAACTACAGGCAACTAAGGAATTCTGGGAGTGAGAGCAATGGTCTAAGGAGGGGGATACCAGCTGGTTATCCAGTACCAGTTGGTCAATCCTTAAAACACATACGCATACAAGAAACAAACTGAGGCGGTTGTGCCTGTGTGTTTGGAGGTGTGTATGTGTGTGTATGTGTGTAACAACAATGGGTGAGGCATGAATTTGAAAGAGAGCAAAGAAGTTGGAGGGAAGAAACGGACGGGAGAAATGATGTAATTGTGTTATAAGCTCAAAGAATAAAATTAACAATTTAAAAGAGAGAAAATCCTGACCACTTCCTTGAGACTTTCTATGTTTTGTTTTCATTTGTCAGTCTTCCCCAGACCATGTTTATATAGTTTTGAGACAGTGTCTCATTAACTTGTTCAGGTTAGATTTGAATTCACAGTGTGTAGCCAAGGGAAGCCTTGGACTTCAACTCCTCCTACCTCCACCTCCCAAGTAGCTGGTATTACAGGCTTGAGTCACTAAGCTCGTTTTAGCTCTCTGTTTTGTTCTGACAGTTACTGTAAAATCAAATGAAGCAAGAGGATTGGTAAAAACAAAAGAAGTTAGTGTCAGGCATGAAAAGTGGCAAAGACCTCGATTCTTTCTCCTATGCTTCTTGGGATATGCTGAATTTCTGCAAAAAGTCAGGAGGTTTAGAAACCACACAGAGAAACATTCCTTGGAAAGGGGAACTCTTCAATGGTCTAAGATTACAGGTCCTTGAAACAGAATGCTATGCAGTTGAGTTTTCCATTCACAGTTCCAGGAAAAAAATGGGCTTTTTTTCCCATTAAGAATACTGTTATTTAGTTATTTTGAATATACAGTACATACATGTATTTTTTCCAAAACCACTAGATTTCCTAAGTAGCACACAGTTGAGTATCATGAGCCTTCCCCATTGATGTTTTAAAAAACTGCAATTCAAATACAGATAAGAAGCCAGGGCCTTCATTCTTTGCTTCATAAAGCACTTAAACCTACTATCTGTTTCTTGAGAACGCCTTAGCCACTCATATTTATAATAATAAAATCTATAAAACTGCCAATAAATTCTAGGAGAGCTGAATGTTCTAGATATAGTGCATTGATTTTCTACCCTGAAAAAAACCTTTTTGTAAGTCTTATTTACAAAGAAGATGCTTTAAACCTTAAGAATCCTAATGAAATGAACGATAACTATGGGACTGTGTATTGTAACATTTTCTTCCTTTTTCCCCTTATTTCTCAACTGAGAGGGAAGTAAGCTGTGCCAGGCAGTTTTGTCAACTTGACACAAGCTAGAGTCAGCTGGGAAGAAAGACCCTTAATTGAAGAATTGCTTCCATTAGATTGTCCTGTGGGCATATCTGTAGAGCTCTTCTTCTAAATTATTATTATTAACGGCTGGTGTGGGAGGGTTGAGCTCATGTTGAGCAGTGTCACCCCTGGGCAGACAATCCTGTGTGGTAAGAGAAAGCAGACAGAGCAGGGCATGCGGAGCAATCCAGTCAGCAGCTTTCCTGCCTTGGCTTCCCTCCGTGATGTCCTATGGTGTGGAAGTGTAAACAAATAGATCCTTTCCTCCTGGTGGTGTTTTTGCCAGCTTCTGATTACAACAGAGAAGCAAAGCAGGAAAGCTACATCTGTATAGCGAGCTCCTTAAGTACTCTAAGCCCAGTTTCACTTGGTCTGTTTTTCTTTAAAAATAAGGAAAATAGTAAAGCCCAATTAAAAAAATCATAGAAATTATGCAAATGAAGGACACTGAGCCCAAGATGGCAAAAAATGAAGGCACAAGAAGGATCACCCTTAGAAGTTTAGGAACCTTGGACCAGAGGAACTGGTCCATCCTCTAAACAGTGTCACTAAGATTCAGTAACTCTGTGTGGGGCTCTGCTTTCCGTGGTTGGACCCCAATCTCTGCTAGATTCTCCTAAGGGCAAAGAAGGCCTATAGTTAATTCCTGGCTTACATCTAAGTAAGTCAAAAAGTGCCAAAGAGAAAGGTCTGTTCCCTAGCCATGATCATAATTGTAAGATAACTGATTGGAAATAACCCTAGTGAACATGATTCGGATTTTGTGTTTATCTTGGAATCCCAGTAGATGTGAGATTTTATTGGCCAGGTCTAGGCTATAAGCCAACTTTATAAGTTGGAGGTACCTAGAAGGCGATCAAAGGAATGGAAGGACTGAGAAAATGAAAGTATATGAAGAGGAAAACTAAAGATAAAATAGAAGCAAGTAAAATAAACGTGTGGCCAGTGTTCCAGGTGAAGTCAGCATGAGTCATCCTTCCTAATGGGGCTTTAAAAGGCATGCACCTGATCAATAGCTGTATATCAAGTATCAGAGGCCACAATAATCTGCTTTAAGAAGCTACCGGGCTCAGCAGAGCAGTTATGATAGGGACTATCGCTTGCTTATGTTTCCAGTGGTTCTATAATCTTCTGTGTTCTGCTTCCATCTGTTACTTTGTAGAAGACATAAAGGTGACTTACATAGGAATAGGAGAATAACCATCATTCCCTGTGTCCTTTGAGACTTTGAAGACACTGTTAACATCCCAGGCTACTGCTTTTTTCAGTGGGAAAGAAGGTAGAGTGAAATCTTGGCTTTTTTTTACTATGACATCACTAATGCTGTGAGTCAGGGAACCAATAAGAGGGTTCTGCCAACAGCTAAGTACTTGGCAGCTGGGAAGCACACATAGGTGGATTCTGTTGGTTCTGTAAGGTGGATTTGGACTAGGACTCTGATATGGTCTGTCCTCAGCTCTCCATCTAAACGAGAAGGTCTACCAGAGTTTTAGACTTCCTTGTACATGGAGGAGTTTTGATACACTATTCAAATTCTAGAGTTTCACTCTGAGGTTCTGTCTTCTAGAGTGATCCTTTTCCTACAGAAAAGCTAGGAATCAGTGTGCACAGAGCAAAGAGGGAATATGGAGAAAAGCAAGATTGATGTGCAAATTAAAAAAAAAGATACTGTGTCTGTTGATGAATAATAAACATGGGCTTAGCTTTCCTGAGACCTTCTGGACATCTGTCTAGGTCACACCTTATCCTAATGCTACAGAGGAACCAGAAAGCTGGCAAGTTGCTTTTGATCTCTGATGCCAAGGCAGTTAAGAGTTGCTGTGGCATTGAACTCCAGGGCACTCTGACGCACATGGAATGAACTTGTGTCTGCAATTGTTCTTGAGGCAGAGAGAACCTCAGCTGAAGAGGCCCAGCTGTGGAGGCAGAAAGTAACAGATTCTAAACAGAAATGTACAAGATCTAGAACGCCCACAAGGTCTTTGAAAGGAGTAAAGTTAACAGAGCAGTCCTTCTGTATTTCATGATCAGTTGGGCCCATCAGTACAAGAGTGATCCTCAAAAGAAAAATCACTGAAAGAGTTTAGAAAAGGTGAAAATAAACAAAGTCATGCTAGCAAATTCAGCATCGCGGACAGAAGATGTTCTTCTCAATTTTCAATACATGTTGCTGGAACAATGTTCACATGTTATCAAAGAAAGTAAACTTAGATCTATTCTATATTTTCCACCTTCTAAAACAACTAAATATATTGTAGAGTTGAATGCAGAAACTGAGATGTATGTGTTCCATACATATAAAGAAAATGTAATAGATTAGAGATTTATCTAAAAGCATAATCCACAGAAGAAAACAATGCTATATTAGAATTAATAAAACCTGATGTACTGGAAGAAAATTTTGTAAGTCATGTATCTAATGTAGTTCTCAGTCATGTATGGTGGCACACTCCTCTAATCCCAGCACTCAGGAAGTAGAGGCAGGCCACCTTTAGCTACATAAGGAGTTTGAGGCCATCATGGACTACATGAGATACTATCCCCCAAACAAAAATTCCTCCCCCTAAACAACCAACAAAAACCCTGCTATGTATAATATTAAGGAATGTTCAAAAGTCAACAATAAGAAAAACATTGTTTTTAACTTGGACACAGACCTCAGCAGACCCTTTACTAGAGAAGTAGATGACAACAAAAGAAGCTATGAGATGATGTCTAACATCACTAGTCCTTAGAAAAATGCAAGTTAAAACCATCATATGACTGCTGAATGGCTATGGATATATATACCTATATATACATATATATCCATTCAATCACAAATATTCATAGCAGTTTCATTTGCAATAATAAAAAACTTCAAATAACTTAGATATGCCACTCCATAGGCAAATAGATTTTAAAAACTGGAACATAATCAGACATAAGAGAAGGTGAAGACTACTGATTTTTTTTCAGTTAGGGTGATGTTTCTCTGATAGCCCTATAAACATAAATGGCCTGAGAAGGAAATCAGAGAAGCATCACCCTCTATAGTAGCCACAAGCAGCATAAAATATCTTGGAATAACACTAACCAAACAAGTGAAACACCTGTATAGAAAGAACTTTGAGTCTTTAAAGAAAGAAAGTAAAGAACATACTAGAAAATGCTCTTGGATAGGCAGCATCAACATAATAAAAATAGGAATCTTGCCAAAAGCAATCTACAAACTCAATGCCATCCCCATCAAAATACTGGCAAAATTTTTCACAGGCCTTGAAAGAATAATACTCAACTTTATATGGAAAAACAAAGGACCCAGGATAGCCAAAGCAACCCTGTACAATAAAGGAACTTCAGGAGTCATCACCTTCCCTGACTTAAAGCTCTGTTATAGAGCTATAGTCCTGAAAACAGCTTAGTATTGGCACAAAAACAGACAGGTAGACCAATGGAATTGAATGGAAAACCTTGATATTAAACCACACACCTATGAACACCTGATGTTTGACAAAGAAGCTAAAATTACACAATTGAAAAAAGAAAGCATCTTCAACAAATGGTGCTGGCATAACTGGGTGCTGACATGTAAAAGACTGCAGATAGATCCATATTTATCACCATGCACAAAACTTAAGTCCAAATGGATCAAAGACCTCAACATAAATCCAGCCACATTGAACCTCTTAGAAGATACAGTGGGAAGTACCCTTGAACGAATTGGTACAACACCAGTAGCACATACACTGAGATTGACAATAATAAATGGGACCTCCTGAAACAGAGAAGCTTCTGCAAGGCAAAGGACACAGTCAACAAGACAAAATGGCAGCCCACAGAACGGGAAAAGATATTCACCAACCCCACATCTGACAGAGGGCTGATTTCTAAAATATAAAAAGAACTCAAGAAGCTAATCACCGAAACACCAAATAATCCAGTTACAAAGAAGGGTGCAGAGCTAAATAAAGAACTCTCAATAGAGGAGTCTAAAGTAGCTGAGAGATACTTAAGAAAGAGTTCAACATCCTTAGCCATCTGGGAAATGCAGATCAAAACAACTCTGAGATACCATCTCACTCCTGTCAGAATGGCTAAAATTAAAACCACCAATGACAGTTTATGCTGGGGAAGATGTGGAGAAAAGGGACCACTCCTCCACTGCTGGTGGGAGTGCAAACTCTTACAGCCACTTTGGAAATCAGTATGGTAGTTCCTTAGGAAAATGGGAATCAGTTACCACAAGACCCAGCAATTCCACTCTTGGGATATATCCAAAGGATGCACATTCATACAACAAGGACATCTGTTAAACTATGTTCATAGCAGCATTATTTGTAATAGCCAGAACCTGGAAGCAACCTAAATGCCCCTCAGCTGAAGAATGGACAAAAAAAAATTTTGGTACATTTACACAATGGAGTACTACTCAGTGGGAAAAAAATGGAATCTTGAAATTCGCAGGCAAATGGATGGAACTAGAAGAAACCATCCTGAGTGAGGTAACCCAGCCACAAAAAGGCAAACGCAGCATGGGAAACCAGCGTAGGACAGACACAGACCTCCTGAATGTGTTTGTCAGTTAGTAGGCCTGGGCAATCTATGGGGCCTCTGGCAATGGATCAGGCCCACTCCACAAAAAGGGATACTCTCTCAGCCTAGACACACAGAGGAGGGACTAGGTCCTGCTCCAAATGATGTGACAGACTTTGAAGATCTTCCATGGAAGACCCCACCGTTGGGATAGGGGGTTAGTGGTGGTGCAGGGGAGGAAGGGAGGGAGAGGGAACTGGGATTGGCATGTAAAACAAGCTTGTTTCTAATTTACACTTTTTTTAAAAGGGGAAAAAAAGAAGATGAAGAAACAAGTAACTTTTCTACATGTAACTGTTTTACAGCTTGCTAATATTCCACCTTTCCTAATGCATACAGCAATTAGTCTGACAATAAAGTGGTTTTCATTTTGTAATGCTTATACAATCTGCACCAGGAGTCAGCATATTTTTAATATAAAAAGCCATATAGTACTTTAGATTTTGTAAGTCAGAGGATCTTAGTCACAAACTAGTCAACTGTGAACTTAAAATACAAAAGAAGCCATATAAGTAGACACATGAATGAATAGGTATAACAGCTCACAAAACTTTACTTGTGAAGACAGATAGTAAGTGGGTTTGAAGGATCGACTTTTTTCCAAACTTGCCCACTTACTATATTATATCTGTGTCCTATCAGATATATGCCTCATCTGTTGATCATAGGTATTTCAGACACAGTCTTTTCTGTAGTGACATTATGCTTGGGTATTTAACAATACCTGGGGACTTTTCCAGTATCTGGGAGCAGGATCTCCCAGGATGTTTAGACTCATGCAAGGTGGGATGGACTGATTACAACTATAAATGCCTGGTCATCTCAGCTTCTCCTGCTCCACAGAAAGCTGGAATTATTTTCACTCCCACTGTATCCTGGCTGATGCTATAACCAACAGAGTATGAAGGAACTGAGCTTTTACCCATTTGGAACCTAAACCTTAAGAAAACCTTAGAAACCTCCTGAGTTCATGCTGTTGAGTACTGCAAGCCAGAGATTACAGATTACACTGTACAGAGAGGTGAAGGTCTAGAGTATCCAAGACTAGACACATAGAGTAAAGGCCTTGCTGTGCCCAGCATTCAAAGTGAAACCCTCTCAGCCAGTCCCTGGATAATCTGCAGACTCAGCTATCATTATGTGAGACAGGGTTGACCAGATGACCCTACTCAACCAAGTGTAAATGCTTTTCTATTATGACATTCAAACACCTGAAACAAGGAAGCAAGCCCACTGAGTGGGCCTGTCCGTAAAGGAGCTGGTGGCTGAGTGGACAGACCTTTTCAAGTAAAGTCCAGTCAGATGTGCAGAGATCACCACAAAGTAAGGCTACACTGATTTTCATTATTGAAAGCCTGAAAGTGGTGCTACAAGTCAAAACAAAATTAGTTTATTGCTATAGAACTTTCCAATGGCTTTGATATGAATGCCTGGAAATCAGCATTGTGAGAACTCCCAACAGGAGGAAGATAAGAGTTGTCTGTGACTTTTTGTTAAAGTGATCTTATTCACCTTCTGAGGATTCATAGTGGAGATGACATAATGTCTAAAGTGTGTCCTCACCAACAAGAAAAGCCTTGAAAGTGTTGTACAGTGTGCTTTGTAAGCTAACTCATGACATTGTTACCTAGAATCCATGAAAGGGTCTCCCTCATGCTGTTTAGCGCTCTAACACT